TCGATGTACATTCTTAGGGACCTATTCTCCCCTTTTTCTTTCAAATAACATTGGTGCACCCGTTGGTGAAACACTTGGCATAATAAAACTCTTATCCAACAAGTCTTGCAATTGTTCATTTAGCTCTCTCAACTCCGTTGATGCCATATGATATAGCTTGCATATTATGTGTCAAATCAAAGGCGGCGTCTATTTTTCTTACTGGAAGTAGTCCTAGTAATCCTCATGAAAATTCTCGTACTACTGGTACCTTTTCCAAACTAAGTGTCTCATCTCTTGTATTGACCATCGTTATGAGACTCCTACCATCTTTGTTCAATAATCATTAAACATTGATAAGTGATATAACGTTACCCATTACTATTAAAAAATCCTTTTTAGTACAAAACTAATTTTATTGGATATCTCAATCAATCTACCTTTATGTAGAAATCAAAGGTAATGTGGTAATACGATAGATAATCCACACCCATCGGCATGTCACAACATACCACATCAAGTACAAATTGGTCATCTAGAATATTTTTTCTCTAAACTCAAATTTAATAAGCTCGTATACACATGTTTACTACTGTAGGTTTTTTTTTACAAAAGTGGCAACCCAAGAAGGATTGCTCAATATTTCAAAATATTCGTGATTTTTAAATCTTCAACCCATATTAAAATCCATACTGAAACGTTTCCTAATCTCGGTCCTCTTACGTGCACGCTAACCATATCCATATTTTTCAATCTTTCCGCTAAGTATAACTTTCACATAATAGATCAAGGTTTTCGTATGTGTAGTTACTACCTTGTTTAAATGGTTAACCAATATTTTATCAAGCCTCTAAACTTAATATATTGCTTATCTATACAATTGAGAAAGTTAGGTGCTATATGTCGTTACACCCATCGTCTAAATTAATTTCTTAACTATCTTGCAGGAAAGTTCATATTAGAAACTTGTCGAGAAGGAAGTGATTCATAAATAATTTAGTGAAATCATTCGCAAATTATTTGTGTTTGTCTTGTTGGCATACCTAAGAGTATGGTATCAGTTCATGTATTCGACATGTTCTGCGGTCTATAAGTTGCTTGTTCCATAGACCATTCCATGAAATATCCTATAGCTCGTAATGTGGTAAATATTTTATCAAAAACCTTTAAGGATCGTATGAACTATCAGAAATAATATACTTGGTAGTTTCAACTTTAGGAACTTTATTAAGGATACTTTTATGTTCCCTACAATCTTCTACGTGCATGATGACTCTAGAGAACTATTCTGTTGCCCATTCTTCTCATGTCTATCTATTATTTCCATCGAGATCTCAATTTCTCTTTGCATTGAGGTAAGTACCTTTGTGATGACACTTTCCTATTGCTATGATGGTAAAACAGTACTAATTTCAGGAATGGACACGACTAAACATGTTAGCGGAAAGAAAGCTCCTCATTATGGCACAATGACCCTTTCATTGTCCTTGTCTACTATTTATGTCGCTTTCCTTTGCGGGAGACAATTGCTTGTCTAATATCATTATTTGATATCTTTGAACCTTTAGCCAAATTTTATTATTGGGTGAACCATACAGGAACAAGATAACAGTGACACGTGTAATTATTTGACCCTAACCACCACATACGTTAGGAGGAATAAGAAAGAAAGACAAGACATATCCCATCACGTCCTTGCAGAATCACGATTATGGGAATGGCCGGCTACATAATCATAATTGAGATTCTACTACCGACGTGTGCTTCATTAGTCAGAAGAATAACCTAAGCTCTGATACCAACTTTTTCACCACCCAATTTAAGATCATGACCGGCGCTTAGAAGCAAGTGCTCCCAAGTAAGCCTCATCGGTAATTTACAGAAAATCAGACAGAGTTTTCCCTGTTTTAGGACTATCCAAAAATAAACCTGTCTTAGAAATCAACAAAATAAACAACCTATATTGACCAAACAAGTTATAATCCTTATTCACGAAATATTTCCAATACAATAATACTAACTTCATCTCCAAGTATACGATAGGAAAGTCTAATACGAGTCACAAGTCTATATCAATAAAAGAATATTTATGACTCATAAAAATGAATATGGAGAGACTCTAAGAGTTTTAAGAAAGAGACTATAACAAATAAATAATAATTTTTGCCCACGCGAATAAATGTGGGGCTCACCAGGAATCGTCAACTCGTGTACTCTAACTAATAGAATCCTCGCTTGCGTCTACTGCTGTCTCTGTAAAAATAATAGCGGGGAGTGAGTAGCTAACTCAGTGAGTAATAATACTTAACCACAACTGTTTTTAATTGGGGACAAGTTAGAAAATATGCTAGTATATCAAACAGAAAATATCATAAGAATGCTCTTTCTAAAATGGTAAATATAATCAGTCTTTTCATGTGTTTTCTGTAATAGAAATCAATTTAACAAATCGGTAATAAACTCAGTAAATACTTTCTCATAGCAAATCTTTATGTTTGGGAGGTTTCCAAAAAAGGATCATATAATTTGTATCACTGTGTGGGACCCTTCGTAAAAGAAGTCAAATATAACTGCAGGTTCCTACTGGAGGAAAAACTGTAACTGTATGCTAGTTCTACCTTCCCACTAGCGAGGGCTATAACTGTACTCGGTAATCGGTAAATACAAAGTGCATCAGGTCTAACAAACTCGTCGTTAGCTACGGGATCCTTCAAAGTCTCCTCCCATTCATACTTTTCTTTGTAAACAGTAAATCTTCACATGGAAGCATTTTCAAAAAGTACAAGGCATTTTAAGTTTTATCAAATCATGTAATCCAATTTCGGTAACGGTAATCATATCTCTAGTAACAGTAAAATATGTCTAGTTACATGGAGAACTTTTTAAATAACTATAAGCATCTCAAGTTAACTATTCAGTACCATATCAAGTAAAGGACTTGTCCCACATATAATTTTAAATATTTGGTAACACATTTTATTTTTAAAATAATATGTAAACCATGCAGGGTATGAAAACACAAATTGCGGTAAGATTACTACTCACAGTACTCGTGCCGAAATACCAAACTCGTCCCCTCGAGCAATCCGTACGGCTTCCTTCAATCAATCTATGATCATATCATATTGATCTCATGTTAATTTTCTTGTTCGGGCTAATTCATAAGTGAATTTGAATACCCACCTCTCGGGATCACATGTTTAGTTCTCAATTTGTCAAATTTTTTGTTTACCCATTCTACAGTTAACTTAATCGAGTCCATAATCTTCTAAACAAAGGTCATTCATATAGTCTATTCATTGTACTATTTGGTCTCCTTAATCATATGAATACTACAAAAATCAGATAATATTATTGTCCATAATATTCCTTCTTAATTGGTATTTAAATCTTTTTTTTGTACACAACGAATGTACACTATGGAAAGTATTCTAGCGAATTCCAAAGAAGGAGAAATTGATTTTTTTGTTCTAAGCCGTGGAGTATTTTCACTGAGAGCAACTACAAGCTTCACCGGACCTGGTTGACCAAAACTTTAGTTATCAAAGCTTTTTATTTTCTCAAATTTTTCTTTCACGTTGGTGAAGCTTTAGGCTTCTTTTGTTTCTCAAATCCAACATTTTCTTTCTTTAGGGATTTTAGTCATTTTTTGATTCTACAGAAGTTTAAATATGGCGCTTTTCCCTTTTCAAATTCCCTAAACTTCATCTTTTAAACTCTTAATCCAATCCCAACATCTTCTCTACTCAGTCCCATAAGGAATCATGAATATAAAATAATATTGTATCAAAAGAAGAAGAAGAATTACATGTAATTACCTGGAGTTTATTGTTGAAGCTCAAGAATATATGCCGATGACGAAGTGAAACACGATATTCGGCGCTAAGAAACACTAGAAACGTTTTCTTTCTTTTCCCGTTTGATATGTGGTTGGCTAAAAGGATTTTTTGTTTTCAAACCCTTTTCTAGCTTCGTCACTTTGAAGCAGATGGGCTAAGGCCCACTTAATTTCCTTCCTTCTTTATTTTATTATTATTTTCTTTTTTTCCTTTTTTGTTGTTTGTCTTGTATTATCTTTTTTTATTTTTGTAATTATTTAACTATCCATTATTTAATAGAAGATATTACAAACGTTAAATTATATTGCAAGCTCAAGCAAACGAATAATTTTTGCATTCTTAAAGCCCAAGCAAACGTTTGCTCAAGCTCAATTCTTAAAGCAGGTAATATCTCCTATTCTTAAAGCCTAAGGGTGTCTTTTTTCTCTTCATTGCAAGCTCTATTATATTGTTAAACATACGTTTTTTATTTCAAATTCTTCTAGCACAAATAATTTCACATATACACAAATAAGTTATTGTGAAATATTTATGTGGGAACGGAAATGGTAAACCAAATTGTAAGTCGGTAAAAGTGTTCATACATACGGTGGAAATAACACTGTGTAGTCACTTTAAAGCATGTTGTTTAAAAGATATCTACAATTTAGAATGTATTTAAAGATTAACCAATTTGCTTAAATTTCAGGATACGATATCCTGAAGTTTAAGCTTCAAAGTTTAAATTTCAGGATATTGTGTCCTAAAATTCAAAAATTATGTCCAAATTCGAATCTTATGCCCTGAATTTTAATTTTGCAGTTCAGAAATTCAGGACACTTAGTCCTGAACTTCAAAATAGCAGCTCAAAAATTTAGGCCACTAAGTTCTGAATTCCAAATTAGCAGCTCAAAGATTCAGGATACTTAGTCCTGAAGTTTGGATAAATTGGCAAAATCTTTAAATACATTATAAATTATGAATATATTTGAAACAACAAGCTTAAAAGTGGCTACTGGTACACTTCACCCATACATTCGTTGCTCAATAAAAAATTACATTTCACTAGATGGACTTCCAAATGGGATGGGCTTTAAGAACAACTAAAGCCCACTGGACCAAAATATTAGGAAATAAACCCAGAGAGCTGGCCCAAACTCCACAAGAATAATCTCAAAAATTGTGTGTGGTGTAGAAATGTTCCATGATCAATCTCTTTCCTACACTCAACCCCAAATTCTTTCTTTTTTCTAAGAACAGTAACAAGAAAATGCTAAAGTTGATGTTGGCTTGCTGTAAAGTGTACATATCAGAAAGCAGAAACAGGGCAGCTCTTGAATCAATTGAAAAAGCTGCTAAGTTATTTCCAGAGGTTCCCATTGTTAACAAATTTGAAGATGAGATTTACAACAGAGTTGGTTACACCCTTGTCTCCAAATTATATCCCAATCCCTCAACTGAATCTTGTCCCTTAAAAAATGCTTCTTTTGCAATGGTCAAAGCTGCATTTGAGACAATTGATCTTCAACAGCATTGTGGAACTCATCCTAGGCTTGGTGTTGTGGACCATGTTTGTTTTCACCCCTTGGCTATCACTTCTTTGGAGTTAGTTGCTTCCACTGCTAAGTCTTTGGCATTTGAAGTTGGTTCTAATCTTCAAGGTTTGTCATTTATCTTTTTAGTCATACACCCCCTTATAAGTGATATTTCTGTTATAAAGATTGAATTTTGGTATTTGCATTAATGGAAAGGCTAATTGTATGTTTGGTATCTTGGAAGTGGATTTGCAGCTAAAAAAGATTGAGTCTTGGTTTTGCATCAACACAAAGATTAATTGTACGAATACTTATCTTTGGTTGATACATTTCTATCTCCGGTTCTAAATTATAACCAATCTTTAACATTCTTAGCACCTTTAGTCATAATATTTTGTGCTTAATATGATAGCGAGCATTTGAAAATTTAGCACTTACAATGGTTTGATTTGGCACCATGAAAAAACTATAGTAAATTATAAGGCTTGTTGTTTCTTTAATGTAGCTAAATGTTGATATATTAGAAAGGAATGGATCCTGTTGTATCAAATGCTATTTCATTGTTCATTCATTTAAATTGAAGAAACGGGTGTTTGTTTCGCAATAAGAGTTGTATTGGCTAATTCAATTTTTATGTGGTCTATATTTAACTAATTTGTTTGAAGGCTGCTAAAAAAGACGCAATTCTAACAAAAAATGATACTTTTTGTTAGGAATTTGAAGGGGAAAAAAAGATTATATACAAATTGAGCATAAGTTTTAAAGCACTGAATATTGAAGGGGTTAGTCAAATTAATCAACCTCCACTCTTGACTAATATTTGCTGCTATGGATTTGAAATCAGCTTGTTGAGTGGTATAAAGATCTTACTTTTGGAGGAGACACATGAAAAAAAGCTACCATTGGAATGGGATTAGGTGGAATATTTGGTGGTTGGTTGCTCTATAACGGACTATTCTGCTTTTAGCGAATAACAATACTGCATTAGTTATTTGTCCATATGATGCAACGAAGCTACCTCAATCCTTCCCTGTCACATTCATCATAGAATAATAACTTGTACTTGGTGCCTTTCCAAAAGGTAATCGGCAAGTTTAATACAATCACGTTGTATCGATCAATACTTTCCGGGGCTTATTTTTTCTCTTTTCCAGTACCTCTCTTTTAAGATGTGATCGACTAGTGTAAGGAAGCATATCTGATATGTATGGTTCTGTTTAGTTATTCCATCATTAGTTCCATTATGGGAACTTCAATCAAACCACAGAAATCATTGTGTGAGATCACATGCATAGCTCTACATAAGCTTAGGATCTAGTAGACAAGGTATTCCTTATCAAAAGAAAAGAAGAAAAAAACAAGTAGACGAGGTATCTGGACATCTGTGGATAGCTGCCCTTAATGGATCAATTTATTCAACAAAATCGATATGTTTAACACGAGCCCTTTCTTGTTTCATACTCCTCAAAAGAGCTTATATAAAGCTAGGTTTTAACTAGATCGTAGTAATAACCTCTCATACGTTCTATCGTGCCTTTAGCTAAGTGCTACTTAAAGTGTTTGAATACTAGTAGCTAGTGTCTTTTGTTGCATTTCGCTAATATTCCATGCAGAGACCTACACAAACTTGAGATCTGGTAGATAAGGTATTTGGACCAACTTTGATGGATCAAATCATACTACAGAAGCTGTTGCTTTAGATAAGATATTTATTTTTGTATCTCCTGGAGAAGAGCTGATATTAAGCAAGACTATACTAAATTGTAGAAATAACCTCTAAAACCTACTATCATAGTCTTCAATTAAGTGGAACATAAGGTCTTTGGAACTTATAACTTTGTGTCTTCATTGCATTCTACAATTTGCCAATAAATCCATATCGTGGTAATAGGATGAAGCTGTGCCTTATATTGTGAAAGTTGTTGCTGCTCTATAAATTTCAAATGTTATTAAGTGGTCTTAAACGTAGACTGCAGTCCCGACCTACTTATATGGAGCAGCACATCAAGAGGGAAGGTCACTTGATTCAATCAGAAGGGAGTTGGGATATTTCCATCCTAATTCAAGTGAGAACCAGTGGGCTGGTGGGCCAAAATCGCAGACTTTGCAATTAAAGCCCGATGAGGGTCCTTCCCGAGCAACTCAAGCAAAAGGTGTGATTACAATCGGAGCTACCAGGTGGGTTGACAACTATAACATTCCCGTCTTCACCAATGACATATCCATTGTTCGTAAAATTGCAAAGAGAGTCAGTGGAAGAGGAGGTGGACTTCCGTCAGTGCAATCCATGGCACTAACTCACGGAGGTGGCACAATTGAGGTTGCTTGCAACTTACTGGAACCAGCTAGGATTGGTGGCGACCAAGTACAGCTTGAAGTTGAGCGGCTTGCTAGGGAAGAGGGTATTGCTGTCGGAAAGGGATATTATACAGATTTCTCAGAAGAAAAAATAATTGAAAGCTACTTGAAACTAGTTCAACATTCTGACTAGAAGCTAGAGGAGCAAGTTATTCTATCCCCGTTCCTTTTTTCCTTCTCTTTTCGCTGTTTTGGCTGAGATTTTCGAAGCCTCTTGACTTTGAGCTCCAGAGGTAAGCAATATGTGTGTACGGGTAAATTCCTCCGGCTTATCTACATTTTATTATAGCACATAATATCATTATCTTACTGCATTTCTTAAACATTCTTATTCTCTTCATATACATAGAGAGAGCTGTCTAAATAAAAGGTTTCTTTCTTCATTGTAATGTGGTTGATTGGACATTCTTGATCAGGAATAGGACATGTGCAAAAGTATCAGACAAGAGATGGATATGGATTCTTAAATCCAATTTGCATGGAAAAGATTAAGCTTTGTAATAGACAGTGAGTTTGTCATAAAGCTGAATACCAAATGGTAATAGATAAGATTAGGTGCATGGAATTAATTTGTTATTTTCTGGTTAGTCCTTCTCATTGCCTTGTCACCCCAGCAACTCATTTGTTTCTTCTTGTATTCGTGTACAGTACCATGGTCTGTTCTTGACAACTGAACTTGTGACTTCAATTTCTTCCAAAATATCTTTTATCAAGATTCTGATATGATCTTTTCAAGATGATTTTTTCCAGTAATAGATTGCATATCCGTGTAATCAGAAACTATACAATCTGACTAACATATGTTTGGAAATGTTTTTCCTNTATATATATAATTTCGACAAACGCGGCAGTTCAATAGTATCATTTTTATACTCTTAACTTTAGTTTGAGAAGCAATTAAGCTTTGCCAAATGTCAAAAGGCTTTTTTCCCTCAATGAGAGATGGGGTTGACAAAAACGTTCTAATCCAGCAATATTTTTTTTTTCTTAAACAAAATGATTGAATAATATTGAAGAAGATATGAGAAGAATGTTTAAACAATAATCGAAATAAAAACAGTCAGTTTCGCGTGAGGCTAAAAAATACTTGCTGATATTAAAGTAAGCAATATTGAACATAGCATGTGTCATGTGCCGATTTTTTTTAATATTTGTCAAAGCAGTTTTCTTTCTTCTGTTGTTTGGCTTTTGGATTAGGCTTATGGATTATTTTAAGAAAAATTGGTATTGCTTACTTAATAGGTTGATTGGAAGGAGAGCCTTTCGTATGATTTATACGTAATGGGTTCGAGTTATGGAATCTGTCGTTGACGCTTGCATCAGAATATACTGCATATGTTATACTTTTGGGTTACGATTCTTCCCCGAACTCTTTATAAACGCGAAATATTTTGTGCATGATCTACGTAATAGTTTGAATAGGATTTTCATTGTGGGGACATTTGATTTGTAATGTGTCAGCATCATTGCTGAGTCAATCAAACCAATAGCTACAAGCAAAAGCCTTGTATCCTATATAACACCTTCTTCCCCCTTTCCATTCATCATCTTCAAGAAACTATTCATCAACAAAATACAAAGATAGAAGAAAAACTCAACTTAAAGCCACAAGTCACACTTCAAAAAAGATGGATTCCAATTCAATCTCCAAGGTAAGGAGTACTCTTCTCTCTACCCCTTTTCCTCTATTGTTCTTTTTTCTCCATTGAAGTTATGCACATTTTGGGAACCTTTGGTTTCCAACTTCTAACATTGTTGTTACTGGAGTCTGAATTTTTATGTTATAGGTGTAAAATTTCTAATTTTTCTTGGTACTTTTCTTCTTTCACTTGGTCTAAATCAGCTGCTTGTCTTTCAACCTATGAATTTTCTTTCTTAGTGTTTTATGATTTTGCCTTTCCTTGTTATGACTATGAGTTATGACATGAATTGTTAGGAACATCCATTATAATTGAAGTACAAAAGATAGTTAATCCAATTTATGGATCCTATATAGAGAGTGACTGCTGAATTTTTTTTGTTGGTGGGGCATCTGTGTTCTTGTTTTCTAATTTTCCTTAATATGTACAGTAATCTTTCTCTTTTTTAAAAAAAAAAAATTAAAAAATCTCTCTATCTTTTCCATTCTTTTATTTTTTATTTTTGTCAAACCATTCCGACTCGCTCTATTTTTTAAACTAAAGGATAAGATTTCCTTTGGCTATTTACACTAAGAAAGAAAGGCCAAATTTTACTAAAGTAATTTTAATTTCTGTTTTCCTTTTTCTACTTATACATACAAATTTAAGAGTGGAAAGAAGAGAGGAGACGGAAATAGATATTGCAACAGGGAAGGGATACCGAGCGCATAACACGTGTGCACTTACTAGTACTATCTTAGTCAGACACGTGATCCTCGTTTGTCTGAACCTTTAACATTTGGGCTTCAAATTGGGCCCTTTGCTTTTGTGGAAAAGATTGTTGTCTTCTCCCAACAAATTAGCTTACCATACTAGAAGAAAAAGTTTAAAGCTGTCACATTCTAAGTTATGCAGATTAATATTTTAACTGTAAACTTGAGATATTTAGAAATTACAATTAAAAGTGAAAACTTTGAAATGTCTTTTGCCGTTGCACAATGGCATCGCATATACTCCCTCCGTCCTATTTTAACTATTGTTTTAGCTCTTTTCATTCCCATTAAGAAAAAAATTATAATTTTCTAAGTTACACCTATTAAATGCTTTTTGAGAATTGAACAGTGTTCAGAAAAACTACTACTGTTTCTTTAATATTAAGAGTATAATTGGAAACAATTAACAAATTTAGTAATTATTGCTGGACAGTTGTTTTAGCTTAATTTGGGACGGAAGGAGTAGTTCCAAAATACAAAAGAAATCTTGAGTTACAAACATTTTCTTGAAAACACTACATCACCTTGAATTGATAGTAGTGCCATTATTATTGCTAGGACAAGAAGAAAAATGTAATGCAATCTATGCTGTTATGCTGCAAGCTGTACATATCCGAATCACGCAACAAAGAAGCTCTTGAACCCATTGAGCGCGCTGCCAAACTTGATCCAGAAACAGTCATTATTAACAAATTTCAGGACCGCGATTACAATCGCGTGAACTATACTCTTGTATCGTATGTTATTCATGACAGCACAGGCTGCCCTATTTACAGCCCCTTGCATCAAACTGTGGTGTCCATGGTTGCTGCTGCCTATGACGCCATAAACCTTGAGCAGCACTCGGGTGCTCATCCTCGCCTTGGTGTCGTGGATGACATTCTCATTCATCCACTCGCGCGAGCTTCATTGGATGAAGCTGCTTGGCTTGCTAAAAAGGTTGCTGCTGATATTGGAAACCGGTTTCAAGGTTAGTAATGACCTTTTTTTTTTCAAATGATATGCTATACTGACTCGAAAATGCAAATGCATACAGTTAGAGGCAAATCTAGGATAGGTTCTATGGGTTCAACTGAACCTATTGCTTTAGGCACAAACTACGTATATATGTGTAACAAAAAGATAAAAAGTATACATCTAATAAGATCACACTCATTCTGAACCCAATGACTTTAAATCCTTGATTTACCTTTGGATGCAGTACCTGTTTATTTATATGCTGCTGCTCACCCAATGGGGAAAGCACTGGACACCATAAGGAGGGAGCTAGGATATTATCGGCCTAACTTCAGGGGCATCCAATGGGCAGGATGGGCTCAACCGGAGCATGTCCCGGTTAAACCAGATGAAGGTCCGGAAGTGGTGTCTCGAGCTAGAGGTGTCGTGATGATTGGAGCTCATCAATGGGTAGCCATGTACAACATTCCAATCATGTCGACTGATCTCTCAGCTGCTAGACGGATTGCTCAGAGGGTGAGTGCTCGAGGTGGAGGCCTCCCCACCGTGCAAACTTTAGGCCTGTTTCACGGTGAGGACTCAACTGAGATAGCTTGCATTCTGCTGGAACCAAACCAAATTGGAGCTGATCGCGTCCAGAACCATGTTGAGACACTGGCATCTCAAGAAGGCTTGGATACGGAGAAAGGGTATTTTACTGATTTGTCTCCTGAAATGATCATTGAAAGATATATGAAATTAATTTCTAATTCGGCCTGATTTATCTGTAAAAGCTGTGAATAAACTTACTCACTCTTGCTTTAAGCTTCTGTCAATAAGGGAAATCAACTCACCCATTTTTTCCTTTCATTCTAGATGCTATTTGAATGGATCTGAAACTGCATTTTGGCATATCATTCTTTCTGAGTGTAATAAAACACTGCGCGATAGAATGGTCACTTTCTAGTGGTTCATTCTCATATTCACTGTACGATTGTTGTGAGATTTGCATAAAACACATGTACAGTCAGAAATACGAAAATGACTATTTTTGGAAGTTAATAGTTTCATTACTACAAAGCCTGACCCTTATGATAGAACAAAACGAAGTGAGATGTTTTAAATAGGTCTCATAATTGAGCATGAAAACCAGTAAAGGAGAGCAAAGTGATAGCTTAGCTTCGCTGTTAGATCAAATAGCCTCTCTGAATACTGGAAGTTGGAACTAAGCCTCAAACATGGCGTCTCTAAGTTGTTACCTTTATGCCTCAGTCATATCGATAATTCAAACCAACCAAATCATGCATCCTTTTGCATGCATGTTACCATTGGAAAGTTTTTTCAATTGTAACTCAATGTCCAACTGATACTAGGTGTTAGTACTAACTTGAAAGATCATTACTGAAAAAAGAAAAGAGCAAATTTTACAATTGAAACTGTGATCTATCCATACAACCATGTACACTTGGGTCATCTTTGAACTCTCACTTGTGAGAAAACACTACATCTAAAATGGTACCTAATCTTTGCAGCCAGCAACAGCCAAGTCACTGGTCATTTCTTTGATTAGTTATATAGAGAACATCATGAACAGGGCGAAAACAACGTTAGCAATCTTAACTCTTAGTTGAGCATTGTTTACTACGAAAATCTTCAGATAGCAGTTTGTTCATTAGCTCATGCAACCTGTTGGCACCAGGACCAGGCCTAAACACCGAATCATCTCCAACCACAGAGCAGGGATCAGCTCTGTCAGATGAGCTTCCATTACACCATGCTCCTGGTGCAAAACGATTTGTACGACCAAGCAGCTCTTTATCAATCTTGTCTAAGACAGGATCATCCTTGCGAAATTTTCGAGCAAATGGTGCACTGCTATTAACCATTTTGTTGAAGTCCTTCAATGTCAGTGAAATAGGATGTTGCTTGGGAGGGGTATCCCAAGCAATGTAATGCAAATCATGGCCTATTGCAGTGCTACGAAACTCTTCGGAGTTGCAAATTACCGTGTGAAAATAGCCTTCTGGTGAAGAAACAAAATTTGTGTAGTACATGAGCAGAGTCCTTGGAAAGTTATCCCATCCCCATATGCAGTACTCCACAAAAGAGCGTGTCAGTATCACCCATGCGGAGCCTAACCACAAAAAAGAAGAATTCTGGATATAAGCATGAGATGAAAAGAAATTGCACACTGCATCCTGCTTTAATAAATTCAAAAAGAGAGAAAAATATAAACTAGGGGTTGAAGAAAAAGCCCGTGGCAAGACATCAAGTTCTGTTAATAATGTATATCATCACAAGCAGAGCAGTAATGAAAATATAAGCAAAACAGAGAATCCCAATTTTGGTTTGAGTCTCTAGTTAGTAGGTTCTCATATTTCAAAACACAAGTAAAACACGCAAACTGAAGATAACAGGTAAAGAACATAATCCATGTGACATTAGTTGGGTTCATTTCCGGCTACTAAATGAACTCGCCTGTAAACAATGTAAAAGCTGTAGGTAGTGATCGCCGTTGAGAAGTGGTGGCAATGTCAGATTTCTTAGACAAATAAAGACCAGGATCAATAATGATAGGTTTAGCTCTCTGGTTCCTGCAACACAACAACCGAACCCAAATTAACATTGCAAGTATTTTATATACAAATACAAAACATATCATGCCTGGGCACTTTAAATTGAAAAGTTAACTCACTTACAGTTTCCACCCATGAAGCAGCATGTTTTCAATGAAATTCAGATTTCTGGACAAATTAGAGAAAACATGGAGCAAATCTGCAACATTTAATAGCCAAAATGAATCTCATTTTCCATGAAAAAGAAAGGAGTAATCGAAGGAGCGAAAAAGTTCATAAATTACACAATGTCCTAGAACCTAACATTTACTATGAAATAAATTTTAAAGACCAAACAATGAAATTCTTGATTTCTTTCATATGTATTCTTGATAAAGTATCTCCCAATCAAACTTCTTTCTGTACACTTATTTAATTTGGGATAAACACCTCATGGTGGTTGAATTCATTTTTGCGGACAAAATCAGTAATAAAGGAAGTATTAGATCCTGAATTGAAAAAGTATCATGAAGCTACAGATATTGCCATACCCATGAACATAAAGGTTCATCTCCACAGAGTGTCTGATTCACATGTTACACAATAGATAAGTCTATCCACATGGGACATCTACATGGTGGATGAAAGCATAAATAGGTAAGTGCATTGGAAAGAGTAAATGCATTCCAAAACCCAAATAGAAAAGGACATTCCAAAAGACATACTTAAGACTGAAAATTGGATCCCAGTATAAGGAAATAACCATTTGCAATACTTGCTAATGTATCATTTCTAGTAATCTCTTTAATTTTTTCGCAGAAGGTTACAATGTCCACATGAGACCTGCAATCTTTTTGTTAGCAAGTTGTCTTATGATAGGGTGAAGTGCATCAGCCCCTAATAATTTTGCATTGAANACCCCTGTACCCAAAACAAAAAAAAACTGGTCCCGATTTTCTCCAATCTCCAACATATGCTCCCTATAAGCCACATCCCTACTTCTAACTTCCATACTCCACTATCTCTTTCCCCCTTGGGATCCAAAATACCACCTTATTCCCCCAATTTTCCATCTTTAAATCAAATGCAAGCGCTATGATGCAGGAATAACAGATTTGGTGAACTTTACTAGTGGGGACAAAGGAATTGGGGGAGTAAGGAAGAAGGTTTTGCAGGAACTTGTTGTTTGGTATGGTAGAGGATGAGGATGGTTAGATGATAGAGCGGCGGCAGGGTTGGGGAGGATGGTCGAAAACAAGAGGGGAGAAAAGACTGAGTAATTTGGAGGGAAAAAAAGACTCAAGGAAGTCTCGTTACGGAACTGAGAAAACACATAGTTTCATGCTTGGCTGCCCCTATATTTTCAAAGTTCACATATCCTCATGCCACAGCAATATTATTTAGGCCACATGTTCCATCTTTGGTGGCTAAACTTCTCAATACTTTTAAAGCACGGTGTTTGCTTCTGCATTATCTCCATAACATTTGATACTTTAGCTATCGCTAAACTAAACATTAAGATGGAGATATTCTCATTTCATGATAAATAATTTGGGAGTTTAGGGGAAGACAAGATGGGGAGTTCTGATGGTAAGCAACCTCCACTTTCAATCAAGAGGTTGTGAGTTCGAGTCACCCCAAGAGCAAGGTGGGGAGTTCTTGGAGGGAAGGATGCCGAGGGTCTATTGGAAACAGCCTCTACCTCATGGTAGGGGTTGGGTAAGGTCTGCGTATACACTACCCTCCCCATACCCCACTAGTGGGATTATACTGGGTTGTTGTTGTTGTTGTTCTGATGGGTGGTAAGCACCCTCCACTTCCAACCAAGAGGTTGTGAGTTCGAGTCACCCCAAGAGCAAGGTGGGGAGTTCTTGGAGGGAAGGATGCCGAGGGTCATTTGGAAACAGCCTCTCTACTCCAGGGTAGGGGTAAGGTATGCGTACACACTACCCTCCCCAGACCCCACTAGTGGGATTATACTGGGTTGTTGTTGTTGTTGTTGTTGTTGTAGGGGAAGACCTTTCCCGTCCTTGACAATCAACCTACCAAACTTCTCAATCCAACATTTTCTTGCATGTTTCTAGAACCAAAAAAATATGTTCACTTACTCCCTGCTAGATGAAGTGTGATATTCTTTCATCATTCCTCACATTATTTTCATAATACTTTTTTCTTCCTTGGCCTATCTCACTATTATTCAGCATCAGTCAAAGAAGTCTTTCCCTATTATTTTCTAAAGATGTTACAAAATAATAGATTTTTCCTTGCACTTGCCAGTATCTATCATTTTCTCCACTAAACTGAAGGGCAAAATTGGTATGGTTACAATTGTATTATGATTTGTATTTATAGGTGAGCCTTGTGCCATAACTTGAACAGGATTTTTCTATGTTCTTGCGAGGAAGGAAAAATGTAGAGGACGGTAAAAGGACAAAGTGACAATACATTGATACCAAAGGATCTTAAGTGCTAGATTTATTTAGTTTTAGATGTCGGAATAGTAGGAATATCTAGTCAAGTTTGATTGGCTGAGTGGTAAGTCGCGGAAGATTTGCATTTGCTGGAATAGAGACAATTCGCTCTGTGTATTCACTAAAAATTGGCATGAAAGAGAAATTGAGAATCAAAGAGTAAATGAGAAATAGGAGAAGAAAAATATTGATTGCTATCAATTTTTTTTGGGTATAACGAAACTCATCCACTAGAAGATGCTTCTATAGAGGAACAAGCGCATTTCACGAGTTCTATGCCGAGCCTCAAAAGTTCATTGTATAGATATGTTGCTCCTCAAATTGCATTTTCCCATCAGAAATGTGAATACTTTTAACCATATATACGTCTAAGCGAGTTTCTTAAAACAGAAAAAGAACCTTTGTAATGCAATTTTAATATTAGAGGTGATGCCCATGCATTCTTAAAGTGTTCCTTGAATTTGACTCTACATATTTATCACATCAAACTACACAATTCCAGCTCAATTCTGGTTATTCTTGATATCTCAATCGATTTCCTGGAGAACCCAAAATTTTCTTAAATCTTAACTAGCTCTAAATCAACCAAGAACCAAGAATTCTATACAGTAAAGTAAAACTGAAAGCACCAAGAATAGCCCCCTTCTTTCCTATTTTTCTGTTTTAATGCTCCTGTCACCTTCATCAAACCTCGGCTTCAGTTATTTTTCAAACTTTGAGCCACAAGATCCAAGGATTTAAAGCCCCAAGATCCCTCTTAGAGATGAAGTCATCATATGATTTATTTGGTTTAACACGAGTAAAAGCCTCACAACCAACATGAAACTATAACTAATTTCCGTAA